GTCAAAAAGTGGGAATTAGAATTTATTTTCCATCTTTCATGAAAAAGCTGCCTATCAAACAGGGCCTTAGTGTTATAGAAGGAATAGAATGTTGAAAACACATGTAAAACGCTTGTATGTACACGCCGCGCGGGCATCAAGGTTATGCTAGTTATTTGACAACGCCGCTTAAAGTGCCATAGCTGCTAGCAAAATTGCGACGGCTTTTTCTCCCCAATCCGTAATTTAATCTTTTCAAGTCCAATACAAATTCAAATTCCCAATTGAGTTTCTAAATAAACTTCAACTAAAATTTGTCAAATAGACTTTGAGTAGGATTCCAAAATAGCATTCCAAATAGAATTTGTCATAAATCGATATTAATTATAATTCTCATTAATCCTTCAAATAGAATTCAAGCCAAACCCGAACTCTAACAGTTACAATTGTCGCTTATTTTTCATATTTATGCCTTTAGCAATTAGATCGGTGAAAATGACCATTAGATGTATATAGGCTGAATTAGAATCGTTACTCAATGACCCTTTCAGATTCGAAATATAATTACCGCATTACCTTTTTATGAAATTAAATAATGGGATTTTGAATAAAGCTGCTGGACCAACTGGATGGCGCAACTCTCATAGTACTTTATGCATTAATAAATGGTCTATTTTTAGATGGTTTGATTAAAAAGAAACAATACCATCATAGTGATTAAAAAAACATTGTTTAAATAGGAAACGTGCATTAATAAGTATACTTTTTCCAGATGGTTCAATTAAATAATAAATAACTTATTGTTGTAGGATGACAAATGTATTCATGAATAATTGTTGCTAGTTTAGTCCAACCCAATTAGTATATAATAATCGAAGACTTTACTGCCAATCAATTTATTTATTATTGATAGCTGCAATCACTCTAAAATCTAGTCTAGATAGAAAGAGGAAAAAAATAAAAAAGGAAAGAAAAACTAGTTCCTCGTGACAATCTATAGTAAGTCCATTTTTTAGGAATCCCCTTTTCGTAAATTCCTTTTTCCCTTTCACTTTCTTTATCACTATTCCACCCGAATACGATCTAAATGAGCATATATTGATGTCAAACAAAACACAACTTTTCATAATAAAATTTATTTCCCATTTTTTTTTTTTTTTTTTGGAAATTAATCGAAGAATTGACTTGATTTGTGTTATTACTTATTGTAATTCCCCCATCTCTTGTATTATGGACTAAATTCTACACAATAATGCTGACAGAGATGCTTAATGAGCACTTTGCATGGTCATGTAATATTTTTTTAGAGGATCATGCCACTATACGAGAAGAATTTTGACAAATGCAGTGACAGATGTGTAGGTAGCATCAGATTTTTTGATGAAAAAACTGACTATGTTTTAAACAAATAAATGATAGAATGTCAAGTGGTATTATGTCAATATTTCTGTCAACATATTTGGCATTGTAGCATGATTGTTTTTCAAATGGGAAGTAATTTAAATTGTTTGGACAACCCCGCTTCACGTAAGGTCCCTTACAAGGCACTCAAATAAGTGGAGCCCGTGCATAATTCTTTTTTAATACATGGAGGGGCCCACCATGTGAGTGCCCTAGTGAGCCCCTCTAATAATTCATTTAGTAAATAGTATGTTCTTTAATTTCATACATACAATTTAGTAGTTTAGTCCAACGGGGACTCAATTGAAGGTCACGGTAAAATAGTGGACTCAGTTGTAAAACTTACATATATATATATATTAAAAATTAGACCTCCTACTTACTAATAAAATAAGATTCGGTCCAAAATAAATCAAATACCTTGAACTCAGGCCTCAACCTTTTGGAAACCTCTAAATCTCTACCCCAACTTTAATATACATATACCAGTCCTCCATATATAGTAACTATACTTTCTGAATCGGCCCTCTGACTTTCAGATAACTCTAAAAATAACCTTCAACTTTCAGATCCAAAATATATGTCCTCTGCTTTATGGAATCCTCCAACTTTCTGATAACTCTATATACATCCTTCAACTTTCAAAAAAATCGAAATAAGTCTTTTAACTTTTAGATAAGTCTATACACATCCTCCAACTTTATTATCCTCCAATTACTTCCTCTTACTTTCAGATTTATCAATATCTTTCCCAACTTTCACATAACTAAAAACATATTCTTTATTTTTCAGAAACCTCTGAGTAGGTCCTCTAGCTTTCAGATAACTCAAATTACATCCTTTAACTTTTAGTATCTTCTTATTAAGTCCTCTAAATTTTTGGCGATGGTGTGCCCGTAGAGAGGAAGGGGTTTATGTTCCGGAGTTGATTTTTGGCCACTTGTTGTTGAACAGCAGTAACTATGATGACCACGAGAAGAATGAAACTTAACTTGTTGAGGTTGATGACCACGGGGTTTATTTTAGCACCGCATATGTTCTAATCCGGTGTTTCCTTCTCGAATGAAACTTAACTTGTTGAGGTTGATGTTCATTTCGTCCGAGACAAGATTCAGTCTGGCACATTTCGTACTCTGCACGTTGCTTCTGTAGACTCACTCACCAAACAGTGGTCTGCATCTCAAAATTTCAACTTCTACTGTCCAAATTATGTGTCACCACTGGGACCACTATTTTGAGGGGGCATTTTAGACATAAAGATCGAGTTCTATAGATTAATCTATTTCATAGTCCTAGCATATATCAAATTCTGGTAAATTAGTTGAAAATCAGATAATCAACAGATTTTCATAATGCTCACTGAAAATATTTCCATGTAAAGCATAATCAAAATATAATGAAAGTTCAGCAAGTTGACATTACTACCTGACACTAAAATCATCATAAGTTTCCTTGCAAACTGGATTTCCCCTTGATGGGTACTGATGAATTTAATCTGCAAATCAAGAAACATTTGTTTTTCCTCATCTTTTAATCAACATATTTTTTTATGTCAATGTTCGATCAATTCAAATATGATTTGAATAAGTTAAAAGTAGAATATGAAGAGTCAATCTTACTCTCTATTTTTTAAAAATTAAAATAGAAAGCTTTTTTGAATTTATTTTTAAGTATTGGCTTGCTCTAATATGGAGAAGAGGAGAGATTGTACTTTGTAGAGAATTAATCAAAGCAATTTTCAAGTTTTGGTTAAAATTCCCAAAATTTCTTGAAATTTGCGAATTTGCAGATATTGCCCAAAGAATCATGCTGCTCTGTCAGGCCTGTAAAAGGCCTGGCAAAGCAAATTGTGAGATGGGGAATGGATGTTTAACATTTGGAGGGGGCAGGGGGTTTTACCCACCTCATGTGAGTGCTCAACTATGCCAAGCCTTTTACAGGCCTGACATAAGAGCTTAATTCTTGCCCAAAACTTATGTTTATTCAGTTAATCCAACTTTGACCTTTTCATAGTTTCACTAAATAAGAGTGTGTTTGAGCCACATTATTTTGAAAGAATGTGTGGTTGAAAATAAAAGAAAAGTTATTGATGTGATCGAAAATATTATTTTTATTGAAAAATGTGTGGTTGAAAATGAGTAGAAGAATGAGAATGAAAAAAATAATGTTTACCAAACAGAGGCTAAGTTTATTTTGCCCTTCGACTTTTCAAATGTTTTCCAGTTGCCTTCAAAAATTCTCTAAATTGTCGTTGAACTGAACAAAATTTTATCCCGTCGTTTAAAAAATTAGCAGATTTAATTAACTTATCAAAATTTTCTTTCTTATGCACTTCATCTATCACATCATCTAGCTAGTTAACTTTTATAACGATGAGCAATTGAGTGACGAATAAGATGACATTTTGATAAATTCAATTTGCTACTCGAAGGACTTTCTAAGGTGTAACGACAACTAAAAAATATTTGACGAAGTCGAAACACATGACAATTTATGAGATATTCAACATATTGATAACTTTGTCAGCTTTTTAGCTTTTTGTTGATTATTTTTGGACCAGGAATAAAATAACAAACGATGTTGTATATTTCGCCAAGCTACAAATGAAATGAGATTTGTGGAAAAGATTAGGTGCGTAAATTGTCAAATTGTCAATGTACCACAGAACTTAATAATGCGACAACGCGGAGTTACTTGCGCTGTGTCTTTTATTTTAAACAATGCTCTTCGACTAGCAAGAACACAATGAAATAATACGAAATATAGGTGAAACTCAAGAACCCACAAGTCTAAGATACCATGCTAATGAGTAATTTTCACTAAATAAATATTTCCGGAACAAAAAATATTTTATTTGCTTAGCAAAAGTTCATTTCCATCGACAAAATCGAGCTACAACCTATATTTTTCCCACCGAAAGGAATCCCTCCCCCAGAAAAGAAAGGGAGAATAGAATCCGTTTCTTTTTTGCTTCCAAACTAAGCAAACAGAAGAGAACAAAAGCTTACAAGAAATCAAAGATGCGAGTTCAAGGCAGATTGTACCTCATTTTTCAATGCCCTGTTGCAAATACTGAATCAAATCATAACCAGCGGTAGTCCACTTATTGTATGCATCAGTGCATATGCGGATCATAAAATTGGCTGCCTCTCGCTCGCTCATTTCAGGATGAAATCTCTTCCGAAGATTTCCAATCGGGTCACCCCTGCTGAAGCAAGGCAATCCACTATCAAGCATCATTAACACTGTGTTTATGATACCATCCATATAGCGGCGTGCAGCAAGATAACCCTTCACACACAAGCTGCAAAAATGGAATGGAGTCGAGATAACACGTCACATAAAATATAAAGAGAAGAAGAAGATCCATTGATCAGTCTGAAACTTCAATATTTACCTTACAAATTGGTACCAAGTGTCACTTTTCATTACTCCTGATGGGTCGAGTAATTGAGTCATCTCATGACTCAGTTTAAAGTGGGCACTTTCGAATCGCATATTGTTGCCAGGTGAAGTTTCCAGTATAAAACCAAAATCAATATGGACAAGCCTACCCACACTGCAATCATAAAAATTAATGGTTAAACTCTCATATGATATGGTTTAAACCAGAAAACGAAGGAGGTACAATAAACTGTTTACCTGTCAAACAAAAGATTCCCGTTATGTCTATCCTTTGGTTGAAGCAAGAGGCTGGCAACTGCATAACCAGCACTGCTAATGAGGAAGTTCTCACGAGCAGCTTCAAAGTTGGGAGAACCAACAGGCCCAAAGTCTTGTTGAAAAATCTCATACAAGCCACCATCAGTGGTCTCACCCATCTGACTCCTGCTTCGTGTATTGGGCACAACCTGCAGAACCAGATGGACAATATGACACGACGACTAAGTTATTTTTACAACACTAGTCAGGGAGTTGTAGTGAGAAGATCCCATAACATTAGCTAAATTATCCTCAAAAATCACATGAAGAAGATCAATGAGGCCCATGGATATAGAACGTGTTTCAAACATGAGAAACTGATCGCAGTATTAGCTAATTACACAATCAAGTATGTTATATGGCGCTAGTATCGACATTCACCAACAAGGTACTAGCATTGACACTGTCAACTCAAACACGCAGAATACATAACAAAAAGTTAACAACCAGCTTACTTATCTGTACACACATATATACTGAATGCTTGTATGTGCTCCGCATGCGACCAATGGTGTAAATACTCTAACTTATGGCCAGTTGAAATAAACCCATCAACCCCCTCAAATGTTTTCTGGAGAAATGGCTTTTTCACACACTTAGCATTCTCAATCAGCTACTTCCATACAGCACGTGCATCAATTCTCCACTTAAAAAGGAAATAGTCAATTTACTTTTCTCTGCATGCTAGGGCATTACAGCATTAGAATAAGTCAATTTGCAATTGAACCAACAATTTAAATGTGTTTATTGCAATAAAAAAATAACATCTATTATGAAAACCATGAAACACATTTCTTGCCCGCATCCTCATGCTTCCTAAGATGGTTTGTTTCTTGCTGCATCAGCATTTTGTACTTATAGCACCGTTAAGATGGAAAAGTACACACATTCATAACATAATGGCTGAGGAACAGAAAAGGAACAAAAATTACATTTGAATGCAAGGATGCAGTTCAGCATATCAAACAAGCAGAAAATTGGATATGTGATAAAGCAAATTACAACCCAGCATCTCTGCCCAAATTTTCTGTGAGCAAACATCTGAATGCTTAAATGTGCAGGGAAATAAGAAAGCAAGAAAACATTCATCAGTCACTACTCACACGTACAAATGTCAGAATAAGACTTGCATTGCATGAAGACACAACCAAACACATTCATGCACGAGTGAGCCGAAGGTAAATGTAGATTTACCTCAATAATTCCTCTCTCTGGACCAGTTGGGAGAACTCCATAGGGAAACAAATACAGATTAAGTCCAACAGCTTCAAAGATGTCCTTCAAAAGTGAAACAACTTGTAAAGCAAGAACATCTTGTCTGCAGTCATCTCCCACCTATGTTCCAAAAGAGCTCAATCAAACAGTGCATAGTAAAAATGTAAAAGTAAAAGTGGAACTAATTTCATAATTACAGATGCAGTGGCTCCCTTTAATGGATTTTCTTCACAATAAAAAAAAAACGAAAAAAATGAAATAAACCTGAACAGGTTTAATACGACAAAGCCACACACTACATTACAGTACAAACCAAGGTTAAAAATCGAGAGGTGATCAATCATACATTGTTTAAAGCAAAGATTGGAAGCGGAAGAAGACCTTGATGCAAGAGTTGATTCTTTTCTATATCTTTATTCAATTAATCCAGTGATGTACTCAAAGACATTTATTTGTTTTTCCTTTTACATTATGCGTAACTAAACTCTAGATTAGGGCAAACAATGTGGTTTTTTGTGATCCTTGATTCTTTTATTCAAAGATTTCTATGGTTTAGTCTTTTATGTATTGATTTTGTTATGATCTTAATGTTTTGAATTATCTGACCAATAATTTGATGATTACTTGAGTTTCTTACAAATTGAGAGGTGAGTTTGAGGCTTAGACCGTATAATAAAATCCGGTAAAATAGTATAACGTGTAGAGATACTTATACTAATTATTACGGTTGTAATAAGAATTCTTAGAACCATATTTCTTTTAACTAAGGGTCATTCGCATAGAGATATGGAATTGAATTAGTTAAATAGACTCAATGAGAACTTGAGATGGATAAATTGAATATAATTGAAGAATTCAATCGAACACTACATTAGGTTAGAATCTTGAATTAAGAATTACGGTGATCATTAGATAAACTTGTTTTGCCCTAATATTCATTACGTATTCGAATCTTTTATCAATCATTGTTTGCAATCTTCTTATACTTTCCATTAGTTTAAGGTAGTTAGTTCACAAAAAAATTTATTCACAACTATTATCATTCTTTATTTGTCTTTTTATCAAATAGGAAGTATTTTAAGTCTGAAAAATAGTCCTCGTGAGAACGATATCCGGGCTCAAATATTCATTTTACTACTTGTTACGATATCGTACACTTACGATATAAAAAACGCAACACAACCACAATGAGTTGTGGGATGTGGCCGTTCTTCCATATAACTTGATCGCAGAAAAGAAATCACGAAAAACTTTTGTTTCTTAATCTCAGAATTGTCAGTTTTGACATGAACTCTTGATGGTTTCTGTTTGGAGGATATGGGAGAATATAAATGGAAGATTTAGAGGACTATAAACAATTAAATATTTGGAGTAACATAAGCAGCTGAATTATTAGGCTTTTAATCCCAAAGTGGTAGGATTTAAACATAATGATCAATTTCAACAAATTTGTTTAATTAATTATTCCCAAGGCGACGTTTAAACGAGATGGTGACTTCAGAAGGCAGAACAAGTGTGAGAAATATCCTAGGATTCTAATCTCGCTGACACCGCTTTCCAAAACTACGACAAAATGTTTTGACCCACATAAGATCTAGCATGGTACAAGAAATACATTAATTCATCTCCTGTTTAATATCATGTTCCTTTTCATACGAGGTGATTCAAATAGGGATTAAGTTGTCCAAACTTATCCATATAACACATACATCATTTCATACATCAAAAGGTTCACTACATTATAATCAACCATATGAACCATTCATGCCAACTAAATAGATCCAAAGTTAACATTCTAGTTTATAAAATTATTTAATCACATCCACAATGTGTACTCAGGAAAATCTTCAGAGAAAATTTCTTCATTTTTTGTGCAATATTGTTTTTGTTTCAGGATATTAAAACTGTAAGCTTTCAAGCAAAAATCTAAAAAAGAAGTACATACTAAACTGATATTTATTAGTTATCCTCAGAAACATGTAGGATACAATCTCCTCGGACAAATATCAGGAAAAATAAATAAATATGTTGTGATTTATTAAAGCGTTAGTTAACTTTTTCAATATTCCAGCTTGGACCAATTTCCATTTCAGACAACTCATGCTGTTTTACGTTAAAGAAACAAGAATAATTATTATACCTTGAAAATACAAGCTTGGGGCTTTACATCACTGTGATCTCCATCGCGATCCACAACATTAAATGTGATCATTATAGGAACTTTTGCAGCTGATTGTAAAGGAATTCCACTATCAACCTGAATGCCCCTGACAAGTTTATTAGGAGCTGTCGGTAGATAGAGATCATCTCCATCCATTTCAATCTTTTCCAACTCCCTATTTCAACGTAAAAACAAAGTTAAATTTGTTGCTGATTCAGACAGCATAGGAACATAAATTTTCAAGTAACTTAAAAGTAAATTAGAAAAACTTTCAGGAAAATAGTAAAAAAGAAAAAGGAAAAAAAATATATACCTCCTTATGCCAGCTCGCCTTTCCTCCTTTGGAAGTGGAAAGAGGACACCTGATATAGATGTTACTTTGTCAAAGAAATCAAATTCTCTATTGAATATGTCAAGGGCTTTAGGATTGAAAACATCAATAATTCGCTGTCTAACAACTGGTAGTAGTGCTAGAAACGCGCTATTCTGCAAACAAATATAACTTCCATTTCAAAAAAACTAGCATAAACCAATATGCATAACAATAAAATGCGGACCTTCAAACTTTTGACCAGAATTAAGCAGATCTCACAAAATGATAATAGATATTAATGTTGCTAAATGGAAGTAAGCTTTACAGTTCACTTCTTTAACATAAGCAACGTGATTGGATAATAAATCAGCTGAAAAGGGTTGCAAAACTGACCCCCTACAGATAACATTAAAGTATCACTTCATGAAATATAAGCATGTGAACACTCAAAGAACTAAAGGAAAACTAAAAGGATAAAACCCGTAACGAGTATTTTAACAAAAAGTAATAACCGATATCCCGAGTTCAGTCCAAATTACAATCTAAACATCTTTGGGTACGTTTAGTTTGTAATTTTCAATTTGTTTTCAGTTTTTTGAAACACCCAAAACTTGGTTTGATCTCATATTTTTGAAAATACATTTTCGAAAACAAGATTAAATTTATAACATAAAACTCAAAACATCTTTTTGACCAAAGCACTCAAAATATGGAAATAAACATTTAAATAAAAAAAATGTACATAATTCTTTTTTAAAAAAAATTCTAAAAATAAAATATAAATTTGTAAAATAAATTCTAAAAAATAAAAAAATAAAGAAAATTTTAAAAAAGTAAAAACTCATATTGGTTATTTAAATAAAAATTCTAAAAAATATATTTAAATAAAAAAGATAAAATTCTCAGTCCACATCATTAATTTTTATTTTTTTTTATTTTCTATGTTTTTCAACTCAATTTATTATTTATTTGTATTTACTTTTGCAGTTGAAAAAAATATTATAAAACTCACCAACTTTAAAATATATATATTGCTTGATAATATATTAGCATAAAATTGTTCTATTGAATAATCAAATTGATCCAATAAAATGTCATGAAACAATTTTTCAAAATTTCGAGCCAGACATGTTCTTCAATTATTTTGTTTTCAGAAACAGCTTTTCAGAATAATAACTTAAACACATTTTCAACCATCTTAAAACAGATCTCAAAATAAAAAATTGAAAATGAATTGTAAATTGAACACAAACCAAACAGGCCATTAATTTTTCTACAAGATGAAAAAAAATAGCAATAATCAACATCTACCACAAACATATTCCACCCCTTGCTATGAGCATATACACATTAGAGGCTGAAAATAAATATAAACAATCTATACTCTGAAGCTACTACCTTGCATTAGAGGCAAAATTGTAACGCTATAAACAGATTGTTATAAAGAGACACCTATGAATAAGTACAATTATGCGTGAATTCATCTGTGCGAATACCCCACTATCAAAAATCATGGGGAAGGAAGAATGGCTCACTACAAATTATGGTTGGGAATATGTTGATGAGAGGGTGTGCCATGGGAAATTTGAGTACAGATTTAGATCTGTTCAGATTGTCTGTATCTAGGAAACACATAGGTAGACGCTAGAGGATTTCAGATTATCACAACAAGAAGTGACCTAACTCATGATATCTGCTGCTATCAAAAGGTTATTTTCCCAGAGACAAGGGCAGATTTTCCCCATCCAGTGAAATGAATAAAATAAATAGGGGAAGGGTTCCAAACCTTTTTGGTTTAAGGGCGAGCAAAACCAAATACAATTCTTTAAAAAAAATAACCCTAAAGAAATATAAATTGTGCCTGGATATTATAAGCACATTTTGAATAACTAACTGCATGTCAACTTATGGAGAACAAAAATCCAAAGAACCTTTCAAAGGCATTCATAATCACAGCAAATGCATCAGCATTTTAACCACAGAAAGAACAAGAAAAGGGTTAATAGGGAACTAAAAAACAGATAAACAAATCAATAAGTAAGAGAAAATAATTTGGCAGTTAATAACCTTTTAATATATGTCATGCAAATAATTTTGATATCATCAGTCAAAGCAACCAATAGATAGTAGTATGCTGTTGAAGAATTAACCGAAAATGGACTTCATTAAAAATCATACAAGTATTTTTAAACTAAAAAATGAGGAAAGCACATAGGAGACGATTAAAAGAGAAATTGGCGAAATATGCATAAATTTTCCAGTCAAGTACGATGATTAATATCAATTTGCATAATTAGGGTAACAGTCAAGATTCCATAAACATGCAGTTGGATAGAAAATACATTTTCATATTCCACTAGTGATGAATAATCAATTGACTTTAGGCAAACAAATGTACCTTAGCAGAGGCTGCATCTTTTCCCGACTCCGGAACACAATTTTCACCCTGCAATTTTTCGCCTGATGTTCATTATATCAAGCTAAAGTATATTCACAATGTCTTGCAAACTAAGTAAGTCTATAACTAACCCACCTGTAAATGCCATATCAAGATATGTGCAAAAATATCACTCCTTTGTGCAGCTCTAAGCAGGTATCCCTCAACCAACTTCTGCAAGTTAGAATCAATAAGAATGTGAACATTAAATTTCGAATGATGTCAAATGCAGGTGCAAGATAGAGCTCATATTGCTGCAACGTAATGAGGGATTGATCGGATGAGAAACTACAAATTGCCAAGTTAAAATTAGAATTTTCTTTCTATTATATATTTATTCCCTCCTTTAAGGTGATATTCCATGCACAAGTTGTTTGCTAAAGGTGTGAATTACATATAGAGTTGTCTTTTTACAAATTTAGCACAGACGGCGATAACTGTGACATCTAATAATAATGAAATAAATAGTAGAGGGAAAAATCCCCATATCTGGTAATAATTGACTTTCTGTTTTATTAGGATCAATAACCATTTTCTTGGAAATGATACCTCTTCATCATATCTTAGAGCCTGCACCAACTGAGGCATGAAGAAAGTCACTCGCTCAGGAGGATATGACTCTAACACCCTGAGAACATAAGCCATGACTCGTGGATGACATTTATATGCAGGAGTAAGGAACTCCAGAGCCTGTGTGATTGAACAAGCTGCCCAGTGTGGCAATTGTTGCAGATGCGTGGAATTTTCATCTATTGCTTTAGGGGTAACAAAATAAGGCAAAGCTTCAGGAATGCTGCGTATCTCCAATATATGTGACTGCGACAAATATTTGAAAGCACCAACATCAAAGTGATGGCAAGAGAAACAATAGAGGTGTTTTTGCATGGTATGCCTCAATTATGTCTTTTACTTTGAGTACAAATATTGAAATGTCTGGAGAAGATTTTATTATACAAAAGTACTAAGAGCATGTTTGAGCACCATTTTTTCCTGAAGAATGCATTTTGAAATAGTAGATTGATGGAGAATATGAGGTTAAAAAATAAGGAAAAGTTTTGGGTTTGCGTGTAATATTATTTTATTGAAGAATGTGTGATTGAATAGAAGAGAGAAAAATGTATTTGGAAATAATGAGGATCAAACAAGGACTAAAATTGTACATTAATATTAAACTTGAACGTAATAGTAAACAGAACTAGTTAATCATCAACTATCAACTTTATGAGAAATAACTATCAATATAGCGTTGCTTTTCAAGAGTCAAATTGTACTTTCAAGAGCACAAATTTGGAAATTTCATGCTAAGGTTCTAATTAATTTTCTTTTTCTAGCTCCAGCAAACTCGATAAACATACTTGAACGAGTTGGGTGACTTCGGCCTTCAGAGCAGAATTTGTTGGAAATCTTGCAGCCAAGGACAAAGCATTTCGAGGGTCAACAGAGAAAGCTGTTCTAGCAAATTCAATCCATTTCTCAGAGCTAATTTTAAGCCGAGAACTGTTATCCCTGAACAATGTGCGATTGCATAAGTGGATTAAAATTCTAACATTGATTATCAGTCAATTAAATGGAATGCATAAATGATTATTGATTAATATAATGAAAGGAATCAAAATCCAGTGAGAATTACTTGGAGCCAACAGGTTGTGCCCAAACCTCAAGTCTATCCGCCTCATGCTGGCATAACGTCAGAAGTAACTGCCTCCGCTTTTCCCGCTCAACAGCATAGTTCCCCATCTGACCCCAGACTGGGTGATATTGATCCTTCTGCAGAAAGAACAGAATTAAGTGTCTACATCATAAACTGCATGCTAGAATAAAAGGATTTAATTGAAGCAACTAGAAGGTTATTCTTTGGACATATAAGCAAGTAATGTAAAAGCCGAGTATTGGATATAATCATCTTACCGCGTCATTCATAGAGCTGCAATTTTCAAGTCCCCGTCCATTCGAATCTATCTGGGAAGAGCCCACTCGCTCATTTAGAAGATGATGGACAAATACGGAAAGGGATTGAGCTTCAGTCTGAGCAAAGTTGTTAGTCAAATCATACCATTCAGGTCCATGAGCAAACCACCCTAAAGCGGTCCTGTATTTGGAAAGAAAGAAAGAATCCCTGAGTTTTCTGCAAACAACATACTTCAAGGTAATTTACAATCTAGGGGATTAACAATAGAATGCTACAGCTTAGCTTAAAGGGATGAATATGGAAAAACAGAAATAAATATAGAAGAGCAATAAAGAGCTAAAATAAATTAGCGATATGGTTATCAAATTAAGAGCATGTTTGGTAGGGCTTAAAATCCAATTAAAATTAAAAATATAGCCGTTATTGGGTTCCACTCGTCTGATAAAAGTTAACGGCTAATTTTTCAATTTTAATCTCTACCGAACAAGCCCTAAGGATTTCGAAAAGTAAAGATGGACAGCCAAGGCACAATGGACTCCATCCTAGAAATGCAGGTGACAGTATAATATGTTACTGCAGAATTTATTAAAATGAGGCATATTAGCTTTCGTGTTCCAATAGATGACAAGATTTTGTCAATTCTAGTAAGAATGTATATAATAACACCGATTCATTTAAACCGAGCACACAGGCCTAAATAGAAAATGTGGCATTATATCTTCCAAAGGATTTAAATAAAACTGATGCATGAGTTTGATATCTGCAGAAAAAACAGCAAAATCATGTTGGAGACAATTGTCACCTGAATTCAGGGACATGTATTCAAGTGAGTTGAACTTTTTATAGTGACAACACTACTAGTAAAGTATGGTTTTCTAACGGCATTTCAACATAGGTCCAATGTACATAATTTTTCTCACTCAAAATTTTTTATCTGCTACATATGTACACTAGTAAATTTCCAATCACAAGCATAAGCATCAGTTTCCTCAAATTTAGAATAATAAATTGTTAGGCAATTGTTCGCAAAATAACACAAAAATGGCTTATTGCAGAAAAGTTCAAGAAATATGGCATTTAAATGCAGATAATAAATTAATAAATGAATATTTCGTAGTGAGACTCACCTGTAAATTCTATCTTCCAGCAACTGAAGACCGCTTCTGAAGTTCTGGATATTCCCTTGTAACTGGCATGAGCAAAATTTTAGGCCAAAAAGCATAAAAGTGAAAAAGGTTCCTGTGGCAGCAGGATGCATGGAGAAACTCCAAGGAAGTTTTGTTGTCCCTTGTAACATCCGACCAAGTAACAAAAGCTGCTCAACACTGTCATGTCGAACTACCTAAACAGTTAAAATAACAAAAAGCAAGGGAACTTCAGAACTTTAAGTAGTAGCATGAATAAAGTAACATTATAGGATGACTACGGGAGTCCTCTGTAACAAGAATAAAGTTGTTGATCTTCTGAAAGGATCTCATGCAATGATAGTAAAATCACAAGTATAAGCATCAGTACATACACGATGGCTGCTTGAGGCATCAATAAGGTAGAACCAAATTGAAAAGAAAAATCAGATTGCAATTTCTCTTTCTTTCCTCGACAAGTAAATGACATTCTTAGTCTAAACAACTCTCTACTCTCTATAACGATTTCCATAAATAAATCCTCTATGATTTATCTTCTTTGATTTAGTATGTTGTCCAAGATGAGAAAACAAAACTTAAATTATACAGATATTCAAACCTTCTTAAAGTTCTTGAAATTAGAAGGGAGAAAATGGTTTTAAATGACACCCTAGAACAGTTCGTATCCAGCGTTTGTTAGTCTTTATCGATTGGATTTCAATTGGTTTTCCAATTATTGTTGGCTAGGGGGTTATTACGTAATTTCTGGAAATTTTTTATTTTTCCAGAAATCGTGGTCAATTCTTGTCTCTCTTGAGTCCAAAGTCATTAGGACCATTATGGTAGGTAATTAACAAACTTCTGTATGAGAAGTTCAAGTTCTGATATGTCTGGGATTACTCAGGTCCTCATAAAAGCCTAGTAATACTCTTAATTTGTTGGAAAGAATTGATCATTAAATTACAAAGCTTTCAAATATTTATTTGATTATGAAGCCCTTGGTTGTAATGTCATGGGATCTCGGTCTTTTAGCTGTCGTAGCTGATGCAATAGGTGAAAAGAACCTAGGAACGAGCAAGTCAGATTTTACCCCCCAACGACAAGCAAACCGGCATTTGACGGGCCTAGCCCACCATTACTCAAAAGGGAAGATCTAGCGCTGCCTAAAGTATTAGCCGTTTCTCGGATACTTTTAACAGCACCATAGAACAGACCAAAATTGTTTCTCAGCTTCTTTAATAATTTCAAATCCTATAAATTCAATACCTATCATATATTTCCAAGCAACCTAGTTTTCCTCCTTGTTTGACCTATACAATTGGATATCAGTCTTGAATGTCCATATTATTCTGCTGCTCAGAACCAAAATTTATGTTATATCTCAAGAGATAAGCCCCCAAGGTTGCTCCACATCATATAGGTAGCCAACATTGCTCCATCAATGAAACCAAGTCCTGTTTTCTTAACAAATGCAAGTCAGCACGCAATAAAGACTATCTTTTGCTCTGAATTGCATAAAAAGTCATTTAATGATGAAATATTAAGGACTAGATAATTAAGGAAGAATAACCTGCTAGTAGTGCTATACAGTCACTAATTGCTTAAACATTACAAGTTCATGAAAACATACAAAATTGTCAACTTCAAAAATTTGTTTAGATTATACCTAACAGATAAATACAATGTAAAGTTTAAAGCGTGTAAGAATAGGGAAAAGCATGCTTAAAAGGCATCCAAACCCAAAGATGTAATCTCTTACCTCAAATCGGTCAATCAAAAATCCAAGCCACAGTCTGTGAGCCATTATCTGTTTAATAGGATCCTTCTCAGGCTGCGGTTCAGGCTCTCCAGGAACAAGGTGAGGCCTTAACTTTGAAGAAGGTCCAGCACACCTTATTTCAGATGCAAAAAGGCCTCGCTTGGTGTCTTTCGTCCACAACCATGCATCAACAAGCTCAGCAAGGACAAGGGAACCCAATTGAGGCGCAGCTGAAACTAACCATGTCCAAATATACACACCAGTCTCCATGGTGTCAGGCGTGCTTATGTAGGCTGGACACCAGCAAAGAAGACGAAGAAGTTGAGAAAAGATCTCAATGTTGGACTCTGAATCTGAATCCTGAAAAACATATGTTACAGCGATATTCAACACAAAAAAAAAAAACACACACACACACACACACAGAGAAATTAGTTTATTTATCAGTATGGAAACAAATATAAACTAGCTTTACCAGATGGGAAAGAAGCAATGCAGTTGCTTGAGAACAAGTTTCGCGAAATGATGATTTATCCACTTCCCCACCCTTTTCCGCGATGTTTACAAATTTCTGGAGCAGACGCACAAACCTGGAAAGTAACTTTTCATTGAAAGATTCATTTTTGGATTGTGAACGTTGTACAGGTGCTCCAGATTCCAGTACTGCAAGATCAAGATTAAGACCTTTATCAATTGCTGGCATGTTGTCAAGGCCACCTATGCTTTCATACAGCCTTCTCATGCCAGCAATTTCTCCTGCACGGTTACACTTTACTGTTGCACTAACCATACCAGTACCGAGCACCTCCAAGTTGAATGCTTCAGTCAATTTCAAGTTTCCTCCAGATGCTGCAGCAGCTGCAGCCATGACTGCAGGAATATTTGCAGTTTTTGTACCAGACCAACAGTCATTTTTGCCCATACCAATCCTTATCTCAGACAAAAGAGAAACAACATCAGCCGTAGGCTGTGTTCTCTGCCATGTATTAGCTTTGCAAAGGTTTTCCTGAATATAACAGGTTTTGGCGCATGTTAGGACCAGGCAGTGGAAAGAAGTTGAGAGTATTTCACAAAACAACCCTTAAATCCTCATCCTGTCCATTCTTTTGGTAGCGGGATGTTTGGAGTTGGGGAAAAAAAGCCCATGACAGTTCAGAAATGCAGGCCAAGTAACAGTTGTCGTAAAGAAGGTAATATGAAGTGTATTGAATAAGCATATTGTCATCATAGTAGAAAATACCCAATAATAACTGCAAAACAAAGTCATATATACTTATGACAGCTCAACATTAAGGCCCTGTTTAGATAATCGCTTATCGTTATAGGTTCTTGAGGAGTAACCGTATTATGAATAGAAACATTATTTCCCTGTCCTTGATGTACGCAGTAGGCCAACTCTATTAAAAAATGGGGAATGCATGTTAAAACAATTCTAGTATCAATAAGAATGTTGATAATGTTGAATTGACAGAAAAAATAGCACACACTGAGCTCTATCTTGATAGATAATTTTTTTAGGTGCCAAAAAAGCAACATTAAAATCAGACAGTTTCTCATGTACAATTACACTTCTAATTGATGACTTATTCCGCATTATTGACTAAATAAGTGTCAAGATATAAGTAATGATCTAATGAGCACCGATGCTCATCTTATGTTAAGCACCCGTGACGTGTCATGTACATCTATTGGTGAATTTTAAATTTAATTCAAATGTTGAGGCCATATATATATATATATATATATAGAGAGAGAGAGAGAGAGAGAGAGAGAGGATCTCTTAAGCAGCGGTGCTCAGCATGTGATATGGCACATCAATTAACTTGTGGATTATTTAATTCATGAATCTACCTTGAACCTATTCACCATTTAGTTTAGGAAATTATTCTCTCTATATATAATTAACACATCAGTTTAGTATATCTAGAACTATATATAAAAAAAATTATCAATTTCAGACCACCAATAAGAAGTCGCTGTTGCGCTTGCACAAAAATTCAAAGGAAATAAAAAATAGATGGATATATCGTATTGGAATGGAAAAACAACATTGAGAAGTAGGACAGAAAAGTTGGGGAAACATTGACAAAGACGTCTACTTGTAATCATGTCCAAGACATAATACAGAGATCCCAACCAGCATTTCTTTGGAAAGGAGGAGATTAGACATGTTTGGACGAGCGGAGTAATATATATAAGTATACATGAACTCTCATGACAAGACGTAACTACAAATATTGAGCATCCAATGCCAATGATATCGGATGCAATTGTGTTACTGATACAAGAGGTGTTTGAAATGTTTACTTATAAAAAAACATAAGCATAAATGATAATAATCCCAAAACACTTGAAGATTGAAACTGAGCCCATGACCGAAAGATGACAAAAATTCATCATAATTGCAAGTAAGAAGGTAACATGAAAAATTGGTGGATTGGTGGAATTTAACCTTTCATGTACTTCGATGTCTCTCATGGTAACTCATCTATGAATGCTTGTATGTTTCTAGTATCTTGAACCATGGAACCTTATCAAATTAGGAGCTTGTCCTTTCATTTTCTGAAATTACCATTCTTACTCACAAAAATGATTTGTCATCCTTCTTGAATAAGTCTCTAGAGAGAGAAATTCATGCATAATAGAAATCGGAAAACCAGCTAATGATCAATATGTATTAAGTGTACAAGGGCGGAAAAGGAAAAAAACAAAAAATTAACTAGCAGAGAACCAAACAAAAACAGCACATGTACTGAAAGCAAGAAAATTATGAATATTCAAAAAGCACTGGCTAACAAATCAGATGTTTGAAATAACAAGTGCAAGAGAAAATAAGTATATAAATTAACTTCAGATGACTCCCAACTCAGAATAAAAATGAACCTGAAGCAGACCCTGACTAGTGCATGGAGCGTGTGAAAGTGAAACAATGATCCATTCCCGAACAATTCTTTGGTACAAAGAGCGAACACTAGCAACATAAGCCGGATCATTCACAAGAGCTGAAGGTGGATCGTTATGCATTGATAGTAGTAGGGAATCCAGACATGAAGAATTCCACAAAATCTGCAAGTTGTGGGAACCACATCCGAGAGTAGTGAGTACGCTTGGCATGTGAATCAAGAAGAACTGAAAGACAAGACGACATTGGAAGCAATAACTTTTACCTGAGGAAATCGATCTCTGAGTTGAGTTAACAAATTAACTGAGATATCTCGCACATGCTCATCCCGCTGAGACAAATTTTTTATGAGAAAACAAGCGTGGATAGAAAGAGTAGACTCTCTAACCTCAGCTTCTTGTCCAGTCTCAGATGCCCGATCCCCCTGCTCCATGTTAAAAGGATCAATAATGCTGAGAAACCAATCTCAGATAAAAACAATAGTAATTTATCTCCAGAAAGAAAGAGGATGGAATATCAAATTCACGACTTTCGAATAACATAAATTTGGGAATCAAGAGAAAACAGCAATAAAAGAATGTGTCTGCAGTCCTCTTAAGCAATTTTTTTTTTAGCCCACAACAGCATATCCAAGTATCTGTCAAAGATGAAAAGAAAAAAATGAAAAATTGAACAAGAAGCAAAAGAGCAGGAGTTCTGCCACTGCACCATGGTAAGGTTGATAACACCACAAAAAGAGAAGTCAGTAAGGTTGATAGGCATTTTCTTTGTTACAACGGTTCTCTTTCTTTCATTTTCCGAACATACTTTTGAATGATCCATCTCCACATAAATGGAACAGTATTTGATCTCACATCTTCGTTCATACATACCAAGAATAAGAGCTAGTCAAGGTTTTTTTTTTTCCATCCTAACGTAATGTTCTGTGTTTTATGACCAATTTTTGCAACTCTCTCTATCAAATAGTAATGTCCACACAAAAGTATAGGTTAGTTATATATTTACTTCAGTATCTTTCACTTTTATTGCAAATGATGCAACCAGAAACAAATAATGGAGCCATAAGATCCACGATACATAAGAAAATAATGTCAAGACCAGGATGTTTCCTGTACCAACCACAAAATGCTACTACATGCATGAGCTCCTAAAATTCTTTTTCATGCTATTAACACTACAATTCAGAATTTCTCCTTTCCAGTTTCCACCTGTCAGAATTGGTTCCTTAGCTGGAAAGAAGCAAACCAATGGGTTTATAAGATCTGCAGGATTGTGTGGACAAATCAAAACTGCATGGCAACACCAAAATTATTTGCATGCATGGTAACACAAAAATCTGTCATTTTTCTTTTTTTACCGAATTCAAATGCATGGCTGGTCTAGATTTTGGAGATGACTAGTAGCATAAAGCAACATAAAATGTCTCTTAATCTAATTGACCCATCCGGTATATTTTCCACGTTCATAGGAGTGCGTCTATGTTTTTGTTTTATGAATATGATATGTTTTGGGCATTTCTAAGCATTTGATATTTCGTAGGGATAAAAAAAGGGATAGACTAAAAAATATACTTCTTTACATTTTTTTATTTTTTGACTCACTAATCCGAGATCACTAACTAATACAAATCCAATATAATAGAAAATTATAACTTTCCCAAGTTATGGACACACATTAATGGAACATATAATCAAATATGTTGATCAATTGAAGGTCTCCATACTACTGGATCTGGGTCACATTGAATAAATATCATATCCTGTAACCTTGTCACCCTTCTGCAGATTAATATTCTCTCCATAAAAAAGCAACAGTAATAGTGCCAAATATGAACAAATAGATGTAACAACTAACAACACATCACAGGCCAAACTTATTAAGAAAAGAAAAGGACAAAAATATAACCAGCCACGCTATAGCTGTTTCAAAAGCCCGGTGAACAATAGCAGTCAAGCACTGGGAGACAGCCGGCACAAGATTAGGACTTTTTAAGTATTCGAAGACACAGCTGAAGGCACTTTGAGATGCAGTTGAACTAACGCCACCATTGAGGATGCCACCATTGCTGCTAAATCGTATTATCTCCAAAAATGCTACTGCTAGAAGATAGGTTGCTTTGACACCTGCAGAAAGCAGAATATAATATCCTGCTATGAAACCATCCTTGAAGACTTGCAACAATTAAAAAAAGAGTTGAAAATGTGTATAATTCACATAAAATACAATACGAATTACTAAACCCAAAAATTTCGTGATTTGCTATGAAAATTAACCAAACCTGAAATTGTACTCATCGCAGAAACCTCCACTTTCCCTCCTAGAGCAGCAGAAAGAGCAGTTCTCTGACTCACAGCTGATTTCTCATTTCCAGTCCCACTACGACTACCAGGGTTATGAAGAGCATTAAGTTCCAACTCATCTTCAAGCCATTTCACAGAGCTCACAACCTGGATGAAACAAAATGCTGTTCTCAGAATCAAAAATATATATTCCACAAACTAGAAAGTACTTATCATCGTGAACAATAATAGTTAGTATTGAAACTTGAGATTCCATATTAAAAAGTCAACCTTGTTAAGAGGATTAACCCAAATCTTTTTATGTTAGTTAGTACTTTGCTCTTATACATTGGGATTTTACCTTTAACATGCCCCACAAGATAGTGGCTTATTTGAAATCTTGAAATCCGAATACTCGTTTAAGCTTTAGAATGATCGAATTACTTGTTGAGCATAATGGGCTCTTATACCGTTATTGAGACTTAGGAATCTATCTTAAAAAGCCAACCTTGTCAAGAGCAATATTTGTAGACCGACCAACCGTTTCAATCTGGAAAATCGGAAATCAGCCAAAAAAAACAGGTATGTTTAGCGCTTAAAACTGACCTAATTATGAATTGGGAAACCCCAGATAATGACCAGTTTGGCTGGTTGAATTTGGAAAAAAAAAAAGAAAAGAAACTGAATTTGTATTACACTATTACTTAAAAAAATAACGTGCTATTGTTATTTGGAAATAGGTATAAAAAATCTCAAACTATAAGCCACTGTTTGGGCTCCATTAAAAACAAATTTTGGGGAAAATGTATTTTGAAATGGTGATTTTGAAGAATACGTGGTTAAAAAATGGGGAAAATTTTTGAGTTTACGTATAATATTATTTTATTGGAGAATGTGTAACTGAAAATAGGAGAGAAAAATGCATTTTTGAAATAATGGAGCCCAAATATTTTCTAGAATTTGATTTATTTTATATTTCAATTTACTCCATCTTTCTCACATAATTTTGTTTTAATAGCACACTAAAATGCTACATAAATATTTAAGTGATTCACCATTTTTTGAAGTTTTTGCTATATTTGTTATCTCATTTTCTATTGATATATGAAGTGAACATAATGAAAACTATATAAAGCCAAGTTTAACATAGGTTAAGAGGAGTAGCACAATATATGTTGATTAGTATTTGTACTTAATCCATGTGCAATTCTACCCTTAACAGTTAAAAAAAGCAATCATGATCACACGAATTAAGCAAAGTGTAAAGAAGACAAATGATGAAGAATCGGCCCATGCTCCGCTAAAATTAAATTGCAGGCATAGTTGGTTAGTTTTTTTGTTTTCTTCTCTATACTTAATCTATATGTGATTTTACCCTCAATAGTTAGAAAAAACAATCAGTGATCACACGGGTTAAGCAAAGTGTAAAGAATACAAATGATGAAGAACCGGACCATGCTAAGCTAAAATTAAATTGAAGACACATGTAACAACAATATTATCTGTTTTGGGAGATTCCTCTTCATTCTGAGAAAAGTTTTGTACTCTTAGATGAGGAAAATAAAGTGGGAAAAAAAACAATTTCTTTTTGTTCGTTCTCCCTTTATCATGAAATAACAAGCACCTTCAATTTAACTGCATATATAGAACTTATTATACAGAACTTTGAGATAGATACTGCAATAAATAGCACGCTCTATTGTGATGGACATTGCAAAATTTGGATGTAATCAGGACACGCTGTTTCAGTAGCCTAAAGTTGAATGGTAGAGAAGTGACGCCTCAAATGTAATCAAGAACGAGGGAAAGTTGACTTACAAGAGGTGGGGTCCCTTGAGAAATGCACTGGACAGCGGATGACCACTGCATATTCCACATGTATGGTCCACCCACTGCATGGAGAGCAATAGTCCCCATGCTACCAACACTATTAAGTGCAGTGGATACTGACTTAGTCATAACTTGAGTTTTCTGTATTGGAGGTGCTAAACCAAAGAGAGCAATATAGAACCACAAGTTGCGGAATTGCTTTAAAACAGAAGGTTCCACATCTCCACTTGGATCGAAGTCAGAACATATTTCGGCCACAGCAGGTAATAGAGGTCCAAGAAAATCCACTCCACTCCTGAATACATTAATGTAATCAGTCAGGGATTTCCTGGACACATTTATTCCAACAATAACATTACGAACCCTCAACATTTAAAGAATGCGACCTTCCACTTTTGGACTCCACGGCTAAGCCCACGTCTGAGCATAATGACAGCAGACGCTGGCGATAATCCAAACGCAATTTATTGCTCATAATGCCTTTAGCAATCAACAAGAAGCCTGAAGGTAAAGTCTAGAATATAATTGCACCAGTGAGCATACATTTAAAATAGTAAAACAATTTTATATATTTAACGCAATCAAGTATTATTTCAAAAGTCCAAATATACCTCAACACGTTCTGCTGTGGCTTCTGGTAACTCAGTTCTACTTTCAGCAGAGCCAACACTAGAGAGTTTGCTCAAATAGCTCCGAATCATCAAAACAATAGCTTCACGGTAAGACTTCTCGAAACCTAAACTTGCCATGCGAGAAACAGCATCAAGAAGCTGCAGTAACTCAACAAAAACCAGGTTGAGAAACCATGCAAAAGATTCATTTGACTATAGCATACAACAATAAAATAGATTCATGAAGGCAGGAAGAATTTATTTTTATTTTTTATTTTTTTTGGGTCCTTCGAATAAGTATGTATTGCTGTACCACAAAAGTTGAAATATTCGAATATGATAATCATACATATTGAAGAGATAGATTCATACACGGAGTCTCAATAAGCCGGGAGTTGAGGCATCACCCTCTTCTAGACTTTCAATAAATAGGGGCAATATCATGTCTACCACTTCAGGCTTGTTAACAACAACATTCAACTCAGCTAGCAAGTGTATGACATTCAGTTGCAAAGCTGGAGCTGCTCGCTTCTCTTTCTCATCCTGAAAGTTAGGCAAAGAATACCAAAGATCGTACAGTATTAGCAACACAACCAATTAAACAAGCAGCACCAAACATACAGGTAGATGAACCATGTTCTCAAGCCCAAACTAGGATGTAAAATGGCCCGAAGGATACCACGATTGGGATCTGTTGCATGTGACTGGAATTATTTCACAATATTACAGATCGGGTTATCACTTCCTATAATCCATAGCATATCTTTATCCGGCACTCTAGGCCACTTGCCGTGATAAGAAAATGACCCAACATCTAATTGTATAAATATTGTTCTTTATATTACCAAATTATACACAATAATTCTAGCCACCATAGTGTCTCTTAAAGGGCAAAATAAAACATTTACATCCTTAAGTTTTACTCTAAACCGCCAATGCATTTACTATTAGGGTGTATTTGATTGCAAGCATGGAACTTGCATGAAAAGAAAATAAGTTCTAGGCAATTGCATGATAATTGACAATTAAATGTGTTTGATTGGCTTAATTTTCAACTTAGAAAATGTTGTACTTTTCCATAAAGTTGAGTTTTTGGAAGTGCGAAAACCTACCCCCCATAAAGAAAATGTTTTCCTTGTTTTTGAGGAAAAGATGGTCGTGTGACCAACTTTTGGAAAATAATTTCCATGGAAAAAATGCCAATCAAACACACCAAAAGTAGAAACTTGGGTAGAAAAGGGACATTTTCCATAAAAAATAAAGCCAATGAAACACACTGTAGAAGATGGCAATAATGGTTTCTACATAAGCTGCTCTGTTGGTCAAATTGGAGCTGATGCGAGAAGAACCACACTTTTGTTTGGGGAATAATTATAAGTTGCTTATAAGCACCATTTTTGAAAAATATGAACCTACTTTGCAAAATGGTGCTTATAAGCAACCTTTAAGTATCTGCTAAACATGCCAAGCCAAAGTAAACTTCTTTAGTCTGAATCCACTCCCTCCATCCCACAATTGTTTGCATGGCTTCAGAAAACTTAATTCTGTACATATAGGGACATTTACAATTTATATTGCTGGTTTGTCCCTTAAATTGGATTCAAAATTTCGAAATGTGGGTATATTGGGTATGTAAGATAAAAATAATTGATTTCGGCAAAAGAAATGGAAGAAAATAAGTATGTTGCTCATTTTTTTAAAGGATATATAGCCCCTTTTTGGGCTCCATTCTTCTTAAAAATGTATTTTTTCAAAACTCATTTTCAGCCACACATTTTTCCATAGAATAATATTACCCGTAAACCCAAAACTTTTCCTTATTTTTTAACCACACATTCTCCAAAAAATCACTATTCCAAACCACATTTTTTCCCCAAAATTTCATTTTAATGGAGCCCAAACAGGGGCATAGATAGCTATTGCAAATCAATTCTTGATAAAAGTACACCAAAAATTAATATGTTAACTAAATGTGAAAATATTGTCTAAACAGCATGCCATAAAGACCAACTTGTTTGTTTCTATCAAATTGAAATGTGAAATCAAAGTCTTGTAACAAGCATTAGGCTTAAACACAAGGAAAATAACAATAAATCATTGTTTATAAGTAAAAAAGAACTATAAACAATGTCATAATCCTAATGCAAAATAATGTTTATCGTTACTGACACTAACCTCTTCCTCATAATCATTTCTTTCACGAATACTAGTAGCTAATCCCATAATAAAAGTGTCCACTGGAGATCGGTCTCTTGTCCATCCAAAGTCAACTATATTACAACATGTTTTCAAGACACTTTCGAACATAGCTCCCTGACTGCTGGCTGACGTATCAGCCTGTTTGTAGAAAAACAAAGCCCAGAAAACATTAATTAAACTACTAAACTTAGCAATTACTGCAGAGCATAAACCTAAAACAAGAAAGAATGTACCTGAGCACAAGTAACAAGGACAAGGCGTTTAAAGTGAATAAGTAGAAGCCGGAGCAGCTGGCCACCACGTGTAACGGCAGCTTGAGAAATCCCAACAAGCAATGAGCCAAACAGCTCTTCACAAGCCCTTAATTTCCGCCACACTGAGAACAAGCATGCCTCTGCAGCCTCGATCAACAATGCAAGGGCTCCAAGCCACAATCTCTTTGATGACTTTGCTTCCGTGTCAAGAGATGCAAGAGTCTTAATTAGCAACCTTGCTGATGCTTGGTAAACAGATAGCTTTATATTAATCTTGTCTTTCAGTAAATGTCCTTGCTCAGTCCAATCACGCTTCCTTATCTGCCCACATAGTAAACCAATGTAAGAGTACCATTCTTAACTTTTTGCCCTTAAATTTAACTTTGCCGCTTTACGCATGGACCCTGTACGGCTGTACCAACAAACTTCAAGTTCATTATACTGATTTACTTACCTTTAAAAAAGCCCGCATTGATTGGAGTTGTTCCTTGACTAAAACTCTTACTTGCTCCAAAAGCTTAGGATCAATGGCCACTTTATCCAATATGTGTCCTGTCAACTTAAAAACAAGCTCTTGTTTTTCAAGGATTTCCACTGACTCCTCCTGAAAAGATGTCAAGTCTTTCTTTTCCCCTCCATCATTGAACACAATGCTCCCGTCCAATAAATCCACACTGCTCTTCCACGTAATGCTGCCCCCATTAGATGCTATGCTGTTTGCGGAATCAGCTGAGGCAATGCTGGCTTCATTACCAGGAGACTGATAATGATTCACGTTCAGAGGAGAGCTCTGAGCTGAAACCGCATCAGGGGTATTTGAAATCCTCTCACGCACCGAATTTGAGACAGCAATTTCATAGCGATCAAGGAGGGCCGTAACTAATCTATCTCCATCGGAAGGTAAAATCACAGGAAAATTCAAACACAATGCGTTCAAAAATACCCGAGAAATCCCAGAATCAACTTTCATAATTGCCTGAAGCACAATTTCGCCTGTGAACCCAGCTACGTCAGTAGAGGTATCAGGCGACAATTCAGCGGCTTTACAAACATAATTCAGGAAATTACTAAAAAAATTAGAAATCGACTCATTTGAAAATGACTGGGGCCAAAAAGCAACGTCAAAAGAGGCCGGAATTGAGCGGTAGAACGCGAGGAAGATAGATTTAGGGGTTTCTAGTTCACTATTCGGGCATTTAGAGAGGAATCGCGCAACGGTGACAATGGCATTGAGCTGTGACTTAGACACCCTAGGCGATCCAATTAACATCGAATCCGGTTGTGGGCACCGATTGCAAATCCACACAATCTTCTCCGAAAATTGGGTCGGATTTTTGGCGATCAAATCGCAAAGCTCCAACAACGACTCCATTTCCGATTAATTTATCTAAATCGTACAGAGCTGATTATCAATGCATGCAGCGCAAGATACAGATTCACAGCATTTGTTCTACTGCTATCGTTGTTCCCGCCGATGGTGCTTCTTCATGTTTATTATTATGAGGTGGCTGCTGCTGGTACTACTAAAAATAGAATAAATTTTGACAGGCCTGAATCTTTGGGCTTGTCGATGGGCCACGTTTGGTCCGGATTTAAAACCGACGCAGGCCCAAATCAATCACGCCTTTCTAAGTAGACAAACTTTAGGATCGGTTTAATTGCAACGAATTTCATGGAAAATGTCACGTTCAAGGAAAACAAATTTCACTTTGACCGTTTGACTGCAACGTGAAAATGAAAATCGAATTCCAAGGTATAACCACTTTAAATTGTATTTTCTTTGTTTTCATGGAAAATGAATTTCTATGTGTTTGGTGGATTTTTATTTTTCAACTAACATGTAATTGGAATTCATTTCCACATTTGCCTATTGAGCAGACCCTTAATGTTCTTTTGGCAGTTCTATAAAGTGCTTATTATGGCTCGTTTGATAAGACTTTTAAAAAGTTAAAAATTACTTATGAGAATCTAAGATTAAAGAAGTTGTGATAATTTTTTGAAGATATTTTGTTTAGTTAAAAGATTTTCTAAAAGAACTTTTAAAGGAGGCTCGCTCTTCTACAGGAAGCATAAGCCCTCTCAAATGGACACTTTACCCCTATTTTACAATCATTAAAATGAGTGTTTTGGGGAAAATTAGTTTTGAAATAGTGATATTTTTTAGAATAAATGATTAAAAAGTATGAAATTTTTTTAGCTTTATAAGTAAAATATTTTATTACGAGAATGTGTTGTTAAAAATGAGTTTAAAAGAGAGAGAGAGAGAGAGAGAGAGAGCGAGAGAGCGAGCTTTATTTTTTAAGTTTGTCAGACAGGGGCTTAGTTGTGGATCATATATAGATATAGGTGGATAGTAAATCATGAATTTACGAAATACATAAATAAAATATAAGATGGACCAACTTAAATTATATTTAAAATTTAGTTTTTGTTTGACACCCATTTTTTCTCATTCTATTTCTCTTTCTCATTTCAACTACACATTCTATTAATAAAATAATATTACACATAAATTCAAAAATTCTCCTTACTTTTTAACCACACAATCTTCCATGAATCACTATTCCAAAAATTATTTTTCAAGCAAAATTGGTGTCAAACAGAGGCTTACTTACATTCAAAATTTATTCAATTTATCTCTAAAATATGTAAATTATTATTATTGAATCAATATCCGAGCAATCTTCACCTATGTTTGGGCTCCATTAAAAATAAATTTTGGGAAAAATGAAATTTTAAAATAGTGATTTAAAAAAAATGTGATCAAAAAATAAAATAAAAAATTAGGTTTATTTTATTAAGGAATATATGATTGAAAATAAGGGGGGAAAATGCATTTTTAAAATAATTGAATCCAAACGAGGGCGAATCGTATTATGTGTGGACATGTTTGTAGCTTCTTCAATAATTAAGTACAAAAAAACCTTTTGTACAGTGTTTAGAGGACTGTAAATTTTACAGCCTTCTCTAATTAGTGTGGGCCCACACTAATTAAAGAGTGCTGTAAAATTTACAACCATCTAAACACTGTACGTGTAGTGCAGTTGAATTAAGTAACCCAAATATTTATTTCAGCGAATTATCTTTAAACCCCAAAATTATCGCTTAAGAAGATTGGTCTATCCACGTGCTTTGACCAAGTCCAGTTGCCAGGTAACATAAGGGGAAAGTCAAACAAAGCATAAATTTAGTAATTTACCAGCTAGAAAATATTTAAAATAAAAATAAAAAAATGGACTGACAATTATTGGCTCTATAATATGCCATCTTCATTGAGATGTTCTCTAGGTATTTTTGTTTAAATAAAATAATTTATAACTATGTAGGTTAATATCATGCAATTTATCGATTCGAAGTGTTCGATTAGTGCAAAACAAAATTTGATAGATAGAAATAAAGGCACCTTCTATTAGGCTATTAACACATCTTTGCTACTAGAATCATTCAAAGCTATATTCCAACAACATTAGACCATTAAGAGCTTATTTAAGTGTTCAAGTGTTGATTATGCGATTTTCAATACCTATCGAGTTATTCCAGTTTAAAGATAATGAGTTCTTATGCCAAAAAGATTTACGACAATGCTATTTGTACATTTCATTGCTTACACTTTTATTGACATTGTCATTGTTGTAAAAAAGTGATTGGTTGAAAAAAAAATTATTTTTAAACTATCAAATCACAGTTTGTCATATGGCAAAGTGTAAAACATAGTGTACATCAAGCATAATTGATTTAGGATTTATAAATTTATCTAGACATCTACCCCATCCCATCTCTACCGCACCTCGACACCTACAACTACCACTGCATGAGTGCATGTCAATGTCAAAATTGGCGATGGCCACCCACTGTCACCTAACATTCACCAAAGCTCAACAGCAATCCCATTCCACTACCACTAACCTCAGCAGCCTCAAGCCCCAA